AAAAAAAAGAAAAAAGAAAAAAAAGATGTCCGGAGTCCGTTTTTAACATTTTCCCTGTAGATTTATTGTTTGAGAGCGTTTGACATCGGCAATACTAGGTGAGGCTGTTAAAATTAGTGCATGGGAAACCCTGAGTGTTAGATCCTGTTCAAGTTTAAAAATATAGAGATATATTAAAAAAAGTGGCAAATAAGCACATACAGACACGCACACACAAAAAAAACCCCAATGCTAAGTACTGGAAAAAAAAGAAGACAGGCTTAAAGTTACTTTTTTTTACAACTGCTGCTACTAACAGAAGCTTAAAAACCCACATCAAGTTACATTTCTCAGGCTACCTTGAGTCCGATACCCACGATTGACTTCTCAGTCCATTGACAACTGCACATCAAAAAAAAAAAAAAAGAAAAAAGGAAAAAAAAAGGGGGAAAAAACCAGTATTTCGCTTCGGAGCTGGGGTGCCCGGGGGGATGCTCCCCAGGGGAGCAGGTACCCGCTGCCCAGCATGCTTATAGAGGGGGGGGAGGAAAAAAAAAGCAGCAAATCGAGCGCACGTCCCGGTTCACAGCCCTACCCATCGCTAGTGTCTTTACCTGACTGTGGGGTCCCATCATGCTGTTAGGGTTGTGGGGTGGAGGCTGTGCGTGTGGCGAGGGCTGTGACCCAGGCGGTCCCTGTGAGGTCAGACAGTAGAAGGAGGTTATAGATTAGCACATGAAAGCGCAGAAAAGAGCTAAAAAAAGGATTGACGGGTGGACCTGTTTTGTCGGGGAGTCAGTTCTCCCATTTTTTAAATTTTTTTTTTCTTCCTCTTTTTAATTGAGTTTCTAGTCATTTGTAGCTGAACGATGAATAATGATATATGCAAAAAAAAAAAAAATTAAAAATCAGAACATCTGTCAAAATACAGCAGCCACATTGACGGTAAACGGTCTGGCAGTTCAACCAAGTCTGCAATGATAAACACACAGGGAAACACTTTGCAAGGGCGTGCAACGAGTAAAAAAAATATGCAGGAGAGGAGCAGAGAGGTTGGGGGAAACACAAAAACATCCCCAAACCAAAAAAAAACAAAAAGATCATTTTTCCCTCTCTCATCCCCAAGGTTGGAGACACCTCCAGGTTTTTGGGTTTTGGCGGTGGTTCAGAGGAGGTGCTGGAGCGAGCGCAGAGGACGAGGAGCACGTCCCAGCTCGCGCCTGGGCAGCGTTTGGCCGGCACAACCGGGGCTGCATCGCCAGCCCGTACGGGTGCAACATCCTTCCTCGAGGTGGATTCCCTACAGGCGCGAGCAAAACGGCTTGGAGCAAAGAAAGGATGTCTAGGGGAAAAAGGGAGAGATTAGTCGGTGCAGGTTTGAGGCGGCAACGCAGCAGCCGCTGACATTTTGGGCTCGAACGCCTGCTTTGTGTGTGTTGGGTTTTAATTTTTTAAATTTCCCTTAAAAGCACAAAATGAAAATTTGCTTCGAAAAACCACGAGCTCAGTGCAAGAATATACCGGTGCGTGTTAACGTAAGGGGAAGAAGAAAAAATGAAAAAAAAGTATTTCTTGAGTGGAAGGAGGTGCAATCGGCAGAGCAAGCAAACGAGCTTTGTCAGTAGGTGACGGGAAGCGGCGGCAGGCTCCAGGACCGGCGCCGGAGCAGATGTTCTCTACCTGCCTCGTTACTAATTTCAACAAGTGTTCGCCTTCTAGCTGCTGCCAGCAATGGCATGGTTTGTTACCATGAGCAATTTTCTTAATTAACAGACATTAATTAGCCATTTAGCAATTTTGCAAGCATTTGTTTAGCAGCTTTCCTAAACATGAATACCACTGTGATAATGGTACTGATTAGAGGGTCCCCTAATTAACAGTACAGGGAAGGAAAATTGAAATCACATAAATTAAAAAGGGAGGGGAAGTTAATGAAGGCAGGACATATTTGCACCTGCAAATCTTTTGTAAGGCGGAAACTTGAGTGCAATGTAAATAAAGTAAGAGGGTGGGTTTTTTTCCCCCCTCTTTTTTTTTTTTTTCTTTTTCTTTC